CGGGGGCGGGGGGGGCGGGGAGAAGATCATCACTACAACTGCACGTCCATTCTACCACAAGTCAGTTTTAGGAAAAGTGCACATGGAAGTTGAGAATGTGGCAAGTCCTTCCCTTGATATGACTGTGCTTGCTTAACTCCTTGGGCAGGCAGCTGGTACACCAACGTGCACCTCAATGTGAAAACCACACCAGTGCACAGGTTTTTACGGTAAGGTGACCACGTGTGATAACCTACTGGCAATGTACTTTCGAATCTAGTTCATCATCAGTTTAGAGAGGATTTTAGGTGTAGAATTTCCGCTGGACTTTAAGCTGTAAAAAGAAGTACAGCACACGTGTGTGAAGAAGGTTCTGGACGTATACCTATGTTACGGTGATAGGTATGGGTAGGAGGGAGAAATTATGATGCTGAAACCATTACCTGAACAATTCTCAAAAAAGCAATTGCCACCTACATAATATTAGTCAAAATCTGTAGGACTCCAATAGCTCATGTAAAATTACTTTTTTTCCAGATTAAAAAGAAATCAACTGACCACACATGTAAGGGTTTATTTTCAGACTGTTTGATTGATCTAATCATGTCAATCCTATGCCAGTACCACACAGTCTTATCAATAGCTTATCAATAGTCTTATCAATGGCTGTAGGTGCCATTTTGAGAGAACATTCATGCATGTGAAGCCTGTGGGGATGTGGAACATGAGCTTGGATTTGTGGGATTTTTAAGATACTATTAACTACAGATTTTCTTGTCATGAACCTTTAGATGGGATTTATCACCCACAATTGGGACAAGGAAAATCTAGCTGCTTACCAAGGAATTAGAATAGTAGGTCAACTTCATCAAAGCAGTGAGCTCCTAAAATAAAGACACCTATTTCTGTGAAGCTCAAAATGACAAACTTAGAAAATGTTCTCTGCTGCTCAGCAAATGCTGCCAGCAATATGGCACTCCTACCAGAAGGGAGTCTTTCTCCTATGTGCTACAACATAGTAAACAAAACCGGCCAGGTTCGCCTAGCTGTGGCTTAATGATGGTGTCCGTGGCCTTCCGAGGAAATAGGGACAATCATAAGCAGCTTTAGAGGGCAAAAGCAGAAGCACGCTCCCCATGACATGATTACACACACAGCAAAAGGAACACATGGAGGGAAAAGGGGTGGAGAGGGGAGGAGAAGAGGGAGGGAGCAAGGGAGGAGCAAAGTTCTGAAAGCAACATGGATGAACCTCGAAAATATTACACCAAGTATAAGAAACCGAACATAAAGTCTGCATTATTATTGGACTCCACTTATAGGAAATATCCAGAATAGGGGAATCCAGAGAGACAGGAAGGAGATCAGTGGTTGTCAGGGGCTGGAGGAGGGAAATAATCAGGGGATTGGGGAGTGACAGCTAAGGGGTACAGAGTTTCTTTTTGAGGTGATGGAAAGGTTCTAAAATGGACTGTAGTGATTGTTGCACAACCCTGCGAATATACTAAAAAGTCACTCAATTGCACGCTTTAAATGGGTGAATTATGGGGCACTTGGGTGGTCGGTTAAATATTGTACTTCGGCTCAGGTCACGATCTCACGGTACAGGAGTTCGAGCCCTGCATTGGGCTCTGTGCTGACAGCTGAGAGCCTGGAGCCTGTTTCAGATTCTGTGTCTCCCTACATCTCTGTCCCTCCCCTGTTCACATTCTGTCTCTCTCAAAAATAAACATTAAAAAAATTAAATGGATGGATTGTATCTTATGTGAATTATATCTCAATAAAGCAGTTTTTAAAACGACTCCAGGAGCTTCTTCCCCTTTGCACTTAGAATAAAGTGGTCACCAGGCCCTAAAGACCCCATATGACCCAGCCCCTTCCAACTTCTCTGTCTTTTCTCCAACGTCCACCACACACTAGTCACACAGGCCACCTTCCAAGCCTCAGAGCCAGCACAGTTCTTTTCTGCCTCAGGACTCTTACACCTGCTTCCTTGGCCTTGACAGCTGTTTCCCCACTCCTTGCAGGTCACTTCTTGTCCGGGTGGCGGGGGGGGGGCGCTTTACCACTTCAGGTAAAGTAGCCACCCCTTACCACCTCCCTGGGCCCTCCCGGTCCCATCTCCCTGTTATACTTGTTCCAGAGTGCTCAGCGATACCTGAAATTATTTCATGTACTGTGTCTCTTCAGAGAAAATAACATTGTGAGGGCAAATCTGGAGTAGTGCCTGGCAGCAAGCATGCACTCAATAATCACTGCTGAGCTGATGAAGGAAGGTCCTTCACAACAGCCGGACCTAGAAGGTCCAGGGATTCTCTATGTAAGAAAGGTACAATATACAAAGGAGAACATTCTCCACCAGAAAACATAATTGAGCTTAGGAGAGATGGACAGGTCTAGCTCTTTGACCCTCAGTAGCATGAGATGTAAGCTAAGACAGAAAAAAAAAAAAAAAAGGATGGCAGAGTGATAAGGCTTTGAAGGATATGATCTGACCAAAGACATCACATGCTGGTGGTCCTATGGGTCCCTGACACACTGGCTCATAGGTGATGGAGATCAGATGGGCAGGTACACAACTGAGAAAAGGATGTAAATAGTAAAAGGTCTCCCATCAGGAAAAGAACAAATGTCCTAACTGGGGATCTTTATACTTATATTAATTTGGGGTTTGTTAATTTTTGGTCATATTTATTTTGGAAGATGTTAAATGACTTCATGAAAGCCATCATTGCTAATAAACTAAGTATATTTATTTTCCTGGGAATCCAAAAGGCCACCTGGATGGACAGAACTGTGTGCATACTCAGGAAAGACCCGAGAATGCCCTAAGCTCTTCCCTCACACCATACATGAAAATGAACTTCTAAGAGATTTGTAGTTTCAGGTTTATGATCCATTTTGAGTTAGTTTTGTATAAGGCATAACGCAGGGGTCCAACTTCATGCTTTTGCATGTGGATATCCAGTCTTCCCAGCACCATTTATTAAAGAGCTTATTCTTCTCCCACTGAACAATCAATCTTGGCATCTTTGTGAAAAGTCAACTGGCCATAGAATGGTTTATTTCTAGGCTCTCAATTCTATTCCACTGAACTTACTGAGCCCTCACCTCATACCAGTCCTGTGCTGAGCGCTTCACATGGGCCATCGCATCTAATCCTTACAATAATCCTAGTAGGTAGGGCTCGTTATTAACCTCACATAACAGACGAGGAAACAGAGGCACAGAAAAGTCAGGTAACTCATCCACGGTGACAATAAGTGGCAGAGGCAGGGTTCAGACGCAGGAAGTCTGGCTCCAGAGCCCCTCCCTTTCATCATCCAGAATATACAGAGAGCCCACAAACCCATAAAAAAGACAAGCAAACCAGCAAGAAAATGGGGAAAAGATAGGAACAGACAATTCACCAAAGAGGAAAATACAAATGGCCAGTAAATCTATGGCATGATGCTCCATCTTACTATAATTAGAGAAATGCTTAATAAGCAAGAAGATATTTTGTCCATCATATTGGTAAAATGGCTTGGATAGGTAACGTGATCCTGGTGATGTGCGGATCTGGGAGAAAAGGAACTCAACAGTGTTCAGTGAATATATAATGAAACATTCATTTTGGAAACATTCTGGCAGAATCTATTAAAATATATAGTTCCATTGAACTCGTGCACAAGGGATACGGACAAGACTGTTCACTGAAGCCCTATTTGTAATTATGCAAAACGAAAACAAATCACATCATCTGTCAGTAAGGAAATGGCATCATGGGCCATGGCCAAAGCCACACCACTGGAATGCCAGCTCCACGAAACACAAGTTTAAATCTGAAGGACAGATATAAAGATGAAGATATATAGATGATATAGGTTGAACGGTGGCCCCAAAAATATACAGCAGAGTCCTAATCCCCAGAAGCCATAAATGTGACCTTAATTGGAAAAACAGTCTTTGCAGCTGTAATTAAGTTAAGGATCTTGAGATGAGATCATTCAGGATTATCCACGTGGGTTCTAAATCCAACAAAAAGTCTCCTTGTAAGAGACAGAGGGGAAGACGACACCCCACAAAGGAGAAGGCCCTGTTGAGATGGACGCACAGACTGGAGTCTCACAGCTACAAGCCACCACAAGCAGGGCTACGTGAGGAAGCTTTCTGCCCCAGGGCCTTCAGAGGAAGTGTGGTCCTGCCGATACCTTGATTTTGGACTTTGGGCCTCCAGAACTGTTAGAGAATACATTTCTGGTTTTTAAACCTGCCAGTTTACGGTACTTTGTTACAGCAGCTGTAGGAAATTAATACAGATAGATATATTCATTCAGGTCTTCAATATATATTAAATAAAAAAGGTTGTGCAATAACACACATGTAAGTAAATTAAAAAGCTCTACATGTGTTATATAAAGCAAAAAAAAAAAAAAACACAACAACAACAACAACAACACCGAACAATCTATGTGTATAGATGTATGTAACAGCACAAAAAAATCATTTGGGACCAGCAGATCCAAACTCACTTCAGCAGCTCCCTCCTGGGATGGGAGTGTATGTTAGCAGGATGGGGAAAGATCACACAAAATCTCAGCTTCACTTTCTAACATTCACATATTTTTTTAAATGGTTTATTTTTTTCAAAAAAAACTAAAGAGAAACTGATGACAAAGCTTAGCATTTGAGAGATAACATACAGACACCATTTTAAGAAAAGTCATAAAAAAATCTAGGAGGAGAAACAAATCTCTTATTCACTTCAAAGTACCTCTTCTTGAGCTAGGGAAAGGCAGTCTTCTGAGGCTGCTGCTGAAGAAAATGCTGTCTCAGCTATTACATTGTTTGGTATTCTTTGCAAAGGAAACAAATGATGTTAAACATTCAGATTTTCTCTTAAATAATGTAATTTATGACACCCATATTTTATCTGATCAATATAGGCCACCTACTGTTTTCCTTGAGTGTGTCTCCTGAGTGGGTGGTGTATACTAATCATTATTGTTTGCTGTTTAATTGTCTGATTTACTACTCACGCTTTACTGAGGAAGTTTCTTCAAATGCATCCTCCAGACGTAAATCAGAGTCCCCAGATCCTATAAATTAAAAAAAAAAAGATTTAACTATTTTTGCATAAAACAAAATAGTACTTATAATGGTTACTTCCCTTTAGATACAGTGTCACGAAGGTAACACAAGAAAAGGAAATCAGTGGAAGCCACCCAAAGATATATTTAGTGATAACCTTCTACAAACAACTTACCCTCACCAAAAACAAAAAAACAACCACCTTCAGTCCACTAGAAGGCTGAAGGCTCAACTGTACAGAACATGAAGTACAATCTTACAAAAAGCCTTCTCCATGATATGTAGGACTTTTGCAATGAGGAATACTGGAGTCCAAAGTTCCATCGATATGTGCCAGGTTCTTTCATCCCATTCCACTGTCAACTCAGTGTATCATCCCCCAACCCCAGCATCCATATCTAGTAGCTCTGATTATATATAACTTAAAAGGCTCTATGGAAAAGCTTTTTTTTTTTT